CCCCACGAGTGACTCTTTATGGGAAGCTACTTGCCATACTGCTTGTGTGACTTATGATGCCACATGTGCTACGTGCGACGCAAGTCGCGATGCTACTTGGGACGTTGTGACACGCCTTGTGACGTGACTTGCGATGCTGCTTGCCATGGGACTTGGGCCGCGACTACCGACGCTACTGGGAAAGTATTGTAACAGAAACAACATAAATGTTGCAAAAGTGTAACAGTAACACCAGAAGTATTGCAACAGTAACACAACAGAAGGAAAAGTATTGTAAAAGAAACACGACAAATGAAATATTGTAACATTAAAACAACAGAAGGAGAGGTAAAGTATACTAACAGTAATAACACAAGGGGAAGCATTGTAACAGTAACATAACAGTAACATAATATGGTAATTTTTATAACAGTAACAATACAGAGGGAAATATTGTAAGAGTAGCACAAGACAAAGGGAAATATTGTAACAGTAATACAGCATAAGTAGTATTGTAACATGAACACAATACAAGAAGTATTGTAACAGTAACACAAGAATTTTGTAATATTAACAACACAAGAAGTATTGTAACAGTAACACAAGAATTTTGTAATATTAACAACACAAGAAGTATTGTAACAGTAACACATCACAAAAGTATTGTAACAATAACGCAACACAAAAGTACTGTAACAACACAACACAAAAGTATTGTAATAGTAACAACACAAGAAGTATTGTAACATCAACAAGAGTAACACAGTCTGAAGTTAGGATGAAGCCTCATTTCAGTAATATTAGAGACGGCCTGAAATATTACCTGGTATCAACATTAGTAAATAATAACTTTTCTTGCGAAATAATGACGTATATAATGGAAAAGTAATTTCGAGTGAGTAGTAGAAATAAGGTAAAAGAATGGGTAATAAAAGACTCATAACAAGGAAAATTATGGTAATCCTCCAGCAGAAAACAAGAACATGAACCTAATAAATAATAATTGGTCACGTTCCCGTCATACTTAAAATATTGTTAGGCAAAATAATATATATTAGGTAAATTCTTTGATATGCTAGATGAAATTTTCGATATGTTAGGTAACAAAATTACACACACACACACACACACACACACACACACACACACACACACACACACACACACACACACACACACACACACACTCACAATCACACACACACTCAACAGGCGAAATATCTGTCGACAAGTGCCTTTGGCAACCGTCAAGTAACACACACACACACTGATCTTTCAGAACATTGTTCCTGGGTCAGGTGATCAAGAAACAGAAACGCTACTTTTTCATCCAAATTAAAATTTTATAAGCAGATTAGAAGGATTTTGCATTGACCTTAAGGAAGATAGCTTTAAACCACCCTGTGTTAGCCCCTCATATGAGATTCCTTGACGCTGGCGAGGGGCTTCTGATTCAAGGAACTGAAAGTGACCTCCCCTTTATTGAATCGAACCTGATTGCCTCCTATTACTCCTCCTTTCGGCACTGTATGACTTTTGTGAGTTTAGCGCTCTCCCTTGCATATAATACACAGTATAAAGTGCATATAATAACGACCAGGAAGTACCATTAGTGACATGCTGCACACACCCGAGGTGGGTGGTGGTGGCGGTCGTCGTGGTCGTGGTCGTCTTCACATTGATACCAGTCTCGATGGTGGCAGAAGTGTTGTTGACAACAACGGTGGTGCAGCTGTAGTAGCGGTGGCAGTGGCAGTAGCGGCGGCCACGGCCAAGGAAATATATTGAGGGGAGGAGGTTGATGCCGGCGGCTGAGCCACCTCTGCCTCTCCAGCTCTTTGTGCCCTCCACCCTCCACCCCTCCCGGTCTGCATTTTGATGCTGGCAGAATTTTTAAGAGCGCCCCCCTCACAAATTCCTTTCTTGCCTCGGACATAATAGATGCTAAGAGGAGTTTCTCATACTGTCCCCGTGGCTGGGATGGCCAGCCCTCCCCAGGGATCCAATACGCATTTTTTGATGAACACGGGAGAATCCCGAATGAAAGATTTCTTTAGCGAGTTCTACCACCAAAATAAAAGGAAAAAAAAAAAGAAAACAAGAGAAGGGAAGTTGGCGCGGCGTCCGCTAGGTGGCAGCACTCCTCAGCAGTATGGCGGGGTTGTCGATGTACCAGTGATTGATTTTCATATATATCGTTATCTCTTTCTCTGATGCTTGGCTCCGAGTATCTGGTCCCCACTGCCTGTGTCCACTGGCTACCCCATGACCCCCCTTCCCCCCTTCACTACCTGTCCAGCCTTTTGTTTATCACCACTCATTTTTTCTTGTCTCTCCTCTTCCATTGCTCTGTTGGGTTATTTAGTGTTTAGAGAGAGAGCGGGGTACCGATGTAGGTGGTGGCGGTGGGGACAGTGGGGGGAGAAAGTGGTGGAAGAGGTGATAATAGTGGTTGTGGCAGTGTTGGTGGTGGTGGTGGTATCAGCGGTTGGAGTGGTGGCAGCGGTGCTGATTGTGGTTGTAGCGGTTGCAGCATTGATGGTGGTGGTTGTGGTAGCAGCAGTGTAAGCGGTGGTGGTGGTGGCAGCGATTAATGGTGATAAGTGTTAGTGGCCTAGGAATTTGTGGCTTCAACCGCAGTGTTGATAATGGTAGCAGTGGTGGTGATGGCATCAGCAGTGGTGATGGCATCAGCAGTTGTGATGGCCGAGTGATGCATCAGCAGTGGCGATAACAGTGGTGGTGATGACATCAGCAGTGGCGATAATAGTGGTGGTGGTGGCATCAGCATTGGCGATAGCAGTGGTGATGGTGGTGGCAGCAGCAGTGTTGGTGGCAGCTGTCGCGGTTGCAGCAGTTGTGGTGGTGGTAAACTTGGTAGTGGTGGCAGTGTTGGTGGCAGCAGTTGTGTTAGTGGTGGTAGTGTTGGTTGCGGCAGTGGTAGTGGCGATGACACCGCCTCTGGTGGCTTCATTCGTCTTCATATTGTGCTCAACATTTATCTTCCCACTCGCAGTCTCTCACATTCTTCATCGTCATCTTCAACTTTGTCATCTTAATCTTCATTTAATACTTTCTTATTTGCATCTTCCTTATATTTATTGCCGGAGCCTAAATAAAATCCTCATATAAGCTCGTATAATTGAATTTCCCTGGGCAATATAGTGCTCAACGTTTTCGTATATAGTGTCGTCTGTATATAGACTTTGTAGAGAAGAATCGCCGGTGCAGGCCAGGACATATGCCATATTCTTTGTTGCCGTCTCTGGGGAAAAACGTTGGAGGAATATTGTGTGAAGGAGTTTGGAAGAGGAGACAGGAAAGGAATTCTTCATTGCACTCAGAATATTAATAAGATGGTTGTTTAACCTTATTAAGCCACTCTCCTGTTTTAGAGGGTTAATTAACATGAGATTCTAGCATTATGTTGCCTACATTTGTCCTGTTTCCTGACGAACCTTCCCTAACCTAACCTATGTTGCCTACAAATAAGAGAAATTGAATGTAACCCTAAATAGTTTTTCTTCTGTGTAAAATCCAAGGCAGAAACTATCACTGATATTGGAGTCTTAACGGAGATGGAATTTTCATTCATGGCAACAAAAGAATTAATAAAATATTGAGAGGCGAAAAGACTGTGGTCAGTGAGCATTTTAACATGATTTTCTCGAGAATGTGACACTAATCTCTGTCAACATTTTTTTATATTACTTCAATTCCGCTTCACACTGAAGACCTCGATATCATGGTTACTCGCTTGCCCCGGACCCCAGACTCTTGAAGGTCAGGGCGTCCTCTTAATTATAGACAGCATTTAACTGTTGCAAAGACAGTCAGAAGGGGGACTAGTGAAGGCTTCTTAACAGTCCAAATCACAGTTTTTCTACCGCGCTCAGTTGTTGCCCGTTTTCTGTTCGCGTTGCACATGTTTTCGCCTTTATCTTTTATTGATAACTCTTCAGTTGTGGTACATTGTAATTTGTTATTTTTTTATGGATATGGGACAACCAAATTTAATATAACATAACCGAGAAATTTGTTGTAAATGGCTGTGAGAAAAGCCACAGATTTTTAGGGGAATTAAGAGGATGAATTACAGAATTTCATATTAAAAGTCATAAATAAATAAACATTGTGAGAGGTTCTGACTGTTGTATGGAGGCAGTTTAGACAGGCGCCATTCCAAAAGATATAAAAATATTTATATACCACAACTCTACTAAGATTATGGCAATACAGTCGCGAAAACTATTTACCGATAGCACCGATATTATACTTGATCAAAATATTTGAAAACTAACAAAGAGTTAAGATTGTTGGCTACATGAGAATAAAAAAAATCACAACCCAGGATAACGTGGGTTTTCAACGTTATTTCTTGCATTTAACAAATTCAGACGTGATATGCACATACTTTATTTCACAAAATATATGTAAAATGAATTGAATAGACAGTTTTAACATATTTTCTTTTATCATAATAATTACCTTGGTAAGAAAGTAGATTATAGGTAACCTCTCATCGAGTTATACCAGTTACTTGCGTCTCTTAACTCTGAGCTTTAACATTATTGAACCTTCAAGGAAAGAGTTTGTACATTTCAAGTTTTCAATACGACTCTTGAAAGCTAAATAGATTAAAGTCACAGGGAAAGATGAAAGATTCAGGAACATGTAAGTACACTGAGGCTCACGCTCAAGTTGATGTGAGTATAGGAGTCCCAGGTTCAAGAAACTGTTTGCAGCATGCACCTATTTGTCAAAAATAAGTCCTTCATAAAATACACCAAAGTTTTGAGGTTTTGTCCATAACATGTTATTACACTCTTGCGTCGAGGCTCAACACATAACATGGTATTGTCCAAACTGATTACAAAGTTCTTCCTATGAAGAAAATTACTGAATCTAAACCATAAACGCTCCTAAATTACGTTGAATTGCACAGATTAAAGAAGGGTCACTGAAATCATGTGACGCTTATGGTGATTACAGAACTCAAGAGTCAATTTTTTGTATTGCAGGCTGCTGAGTCGCGGCCGGATGTTCGTTTGGTCAGAAGCCCAGGCCAGGCGGCTTCTGGGACGCGCACGAGCTGACACCGAGGTCGACGGGGAACGGAAATGGTTGGAAGACCAACTTGGGTGTCCATCTAGTGACCAAGAGCATACCCTCCCTGGGGAGGGGCTAGGGGCAAGGCAGCAGAATGAAGGCCCTGAGGACCTTCAGTGCCGGCTACATGCCGGAGGCAATGACGGGGACTGGTGGGTTGGTGAGAGGCTCCTGGACTTGGGTGCTGGTGACGGTTATGTAACCAGGATTCTGGCTGCAGGTGCCCGCCAGATAGACGTGACGGAGGCCTCAGTCATCATGCGCCACCGCCTCAGGGAGCGTGGATACCGGTAAGTTCCTCTCCTACCGTTGTTAGGTTCACCCATGTATAGTCAGCAAAACGAAAGATTATATATATATATATATATTATATATATATATATATATATATATATATATATATATATATATATATATATATATATATATATATATTATGCAATAAGATCACAGTAAACAGGTGATTTCAGAATATGCAAAACAACCACTGTGAAAGAATAGAGAAATTCTAAGCGCTTCCGTGACTACTCACATTATCAAGGAATAATGTTCCTTGATAATGTGAGTAGTCACGAAATCGCTTTGAATTTCTCTATTCTTTCACAGTGGTTGTTTTGCTTATATATATATATTATTATATATATATATATATATATATATATATATATATTATATATATATTATTTATTTATTTATTTATTTATTTATTTTGCACACACCAAACACACACACACACACACACACACACTGACACAGGGAGAATTAGATGACTAACTCGACGCCCCTCTCTAGTCGTTCAGTTCCCTCACCCGTGGTAGATTTGCCACACACTCACTCTCTCTCTCCTCTCTTCATCTTCTCTCTCTCTCTACTCTCCTCTCTCTCTCTCTCTCTCTCTCTCTCTCTCTCTCTCTCTCTCTCTCTCTCTCTCACACACACACACACACACACACTCTACAGGGAGGTTCCACCTCAGGAACTGTGCTGGGGACCCTCATCCTCAGAGAAAAGAATAAACTTACTTCAGGGAAAACTCAAGGTTGTCACTGGAGCCGTTTGAAAACTTTCTTCTCCTACCACCCCCTATATTCTACGTAGACTTTATTTAAAGACAAAATACAGTGACAAAAATACAATAGGGAGTAAAACAACATAGATAACATCTCACAGCCTACATCTGAAATATTTCGTCCAGCTCCCCGGCGCGGATATATATATATATATATATATATATAAGGATGAAAAGCAGATTGCCTGGGACTACACATGTGCCGCCACATTGGCAGACACCTACTTGCCATACTCTGTAGTGGAAGGGGGTGGAGCTGCCAGCCACAGGGAGATCCAGAAGATCCGCAAATATGAAGACCTTCCCCCTTGCTATAACTTCATCCCAATAGGGTCGGAGACCCTTGGTGCATGGGGCAAGTGTGCTCTAAAGTTCCTAATAGAGCTGGGTGAAAAGCTCATCATAGAAACCAAGGACCGCAGGGCGACCAGCTTCCTCTTTCAGAGACTCAGTGTTGCGATCCAGAGAGGAAATGCCTGCAGCATTCTGGGCACGCGGCCCACTGCCGGGGAGCTGGAAGAAGTATTCGAGATGTAGCTCTGAGTTACCTATGTTGTTTTACTTTCTATCGTATTTTTGTGAATGTTATGTCAACGTATTTTGTATTATATATATATATATATATATATATATATATATATATATATTATATATATATATATATATATATATATATTATATATATATATTATAATTTTGATAACCGTTATGTTACCGATGTTAATTTTGCTAGTTAACCCTAGTACCTTTGCTTGTGGGCTGACCATCATCTATTCCTGTAATACTCCTGTAATACAGTGCCTGAGGCACTGTATGTTTCCTGCCTCTCCAACCCTCAGTCTTAGCAAGCTTCCCTCTGAACGAATCTATTGATATTTCTTACTCATTTTTGCAACTCTGCAAGCTCCTGATGTGTTGATTGCAACGCGATAGGCCTAGAGCTATTATTCAACTCCCTCCTGTGGTTGTTATATATATATTATATATATATATATATATATATAATATATATATATATATATATATATATATATATATATGCAAGGAATTCGCAAGAGCAGGCGAAATATACACAAACACTGATCTCTGGCTGAAGGAGACTCGAACCTACGAACCTTGGAACAAGGTACGCAGTGCTTTACTAATCTACCCACACTGGACAATACCTTGGAGTCCAGCTTGCACTAGACTTTGATCCAAGGCAGCCAGCTTTCAGGGAGAAGGCTTACAGCTTTTCATCTCATCCCCTGCATGCATCAGCCTTACGAGATATATTAACAATGCAGGGAATTCGCAAGAGCAGGCGAAATATACACAAATTTCCAAACTCCAAATTTTCTGCACAATATTCATACCATACATTGCCTTCAAACACGACCTCTCAACTGCCTCCAGCCTCCTCCTTTTTGCAACATTCAAAATCCATGCTTCACACCCATACAAGGGTGTTGGTTCCTCTAGACTTTGGTACAGTCTCCTTTCTGCCTCCATGGATAAAGTTTTTCTCCACTTAGTGCACCACCCACTTTTTTTTTTCCTTTGTCAGTTCTGTATTTCACTTCACTTCCGCCAACAAGTCAACTCCCAAATATCTGAACACATTAATTTCCTCCTTCCTCCCTTCCTCTATTCTAATATACACTCGCTACATATGTTTTTGATAAATACATGAATGAGAGAGGTTGGATTTGAGTGGGACTTGTGCGTGAGTTAGTATGATAATCAAAGCTTATTCTATACGTAACATTGAGAATTAGTTCGGAAAATATTTTTGTATGGCAGTCTGTTTTGAGAATCACCTGCTTAGTATGGGCCGGTAGGCCTGCTTCAGTGAAGCTTTAGTAAATAACACAAAATAAAATTTGTCCTGTATTAAAAAGATAGGACCCCAATGGAAATAATTCACTCTGTCTGACTTTTTTGGGTTATCCCAGGTTCTCTACACATATGCTGCTATGTATGATAATTCTATGTAACTGTATTTGTGTATACCTGAATAAACTTACTTACTTACTTAGGAAAGACACACACTAAAGATGCAGAATTCATGGCTTAGTAAATGGCTCATAACTCATTGGTAGCTCTTCAGCTCACAGATAAAGGATCTGAGTTCGATCCTGGGACGGGTAAACACGTTAAGAAACGAAACTTATGTAAGCGTGTTGTCCACTGTTAACTTAGCAGTAAGTAGATACCTGGGTATTTGCTGAATGTATTGGGTACCAAAGGACCCAGTTGAAAAAGTCGGATTGACTGAACGAGACTGTCCGGATTAACAGTCCGGACAGTCTTGTTCACATCAAGATGGAGAATCAATCAAATTTTAGCTATATATTTTTCATTATGCACCCAGTACCCATCCTGTGGGTGGTAGTCAAAAGATTAGAGATACATAATGGGTCCGTCGACACAAAGAAAATGTAGTTCGAGGTACCCACAACTCGCCAACAGAAAATGGCTTCACGAGGGGGATACTCCTCTTTATTAAGGGAGAGTTCATCAATCTCCCTGATAAAACGAGGTGACCCCCCAGGCCCTCGCCTCTTTAAGGGAACCGTAAAGGGTTCTTTGGGTAACGAGGGAGGCACTGAAGACTTGCCCATAAGGGAAAGTGAAGCCAAATTAATGACCCATAAGAGCCAATGGGAGCTCATTTACCGGATTAACAGCTAATTTGTATAAGCACTTTGAAGCACGCGGGGTTATAAAGACCCAAGTCTAGTGCTCTCTTGTCTGCTCCTGTTTGTGTGTGTTTGTTGTTTGAACACTGTATCATGGTAATGGATGGTTTGTGATGAAATGTAGCATATTCAGCAACACACTGGCACGATGACAGACATTGCAGTTTCATAACAATATCCAGAGTGTCAGACTGAGGCCACTGTGTATCATAACCATGGCGAGAGGCTCTTGATCAAAGGAACTTGGGTTACCCTCAAGTTCTTTGGATCAACCCTGGTTACTTCTGATTCCCCAGACGTCGTATGACCACGGTTTTAGTGCCTGTCTATAAATATATTAATAATTTGCCTTTTCCCAATTTTTATAACCTTTCATTTACTTGTGAGTACTTACCTATGTACACATACCTATATGTAAATCCAAGGGCCAGATCTTATCTCCTGGCCCCGCCCCTCAACTTGCTGCTGGCTAGATTCACTCACTCATAGGCTCCTTGGTCTGTGACGTATCTACTCAGAATTTCTCCACTTCGCCCAGACTATTCCGTTTCCTGACCACCTTGAGGCTGAAGAAGTACTCCCTGATATCTTCATGACGCATCTGTGTCAAGTGTAGTACCTGTTTCTCGCTTCTCAAAGTGTCTATCCCTATCTACCCTGTCAATTCCCTTGGCTATTTTGTATTTTATTATCATGGCTCCCCTTGTTCTTTCCTTAGTTGTCGTCAAGGTTAGTTCCTTTAGCCTCTCCTTATAGCTCACGCCCTTAACTCTGTGACTAGTGCCGCTGCATACTTCTGCACCTTTTCCAGTTTTTATATTTGGTGTGGGCTCCATGTTAGTGCTTCGTACTCCAAGATGGGCCTAACATATGACTTGAATGTCTTTGCCGAGATTCTTGAAGGCTACTTTTAGGGTTGGCAGACGAACATTGGTTGCAGAGGGTATTCGGTTTTTTGTATGACGATATATTTGGCACTATGGTTTTACCCTGTGTCTTTCTGAGTGAGATCTGCAGTCGGTCTCTCCGAGTTTGTACCCCGTGTATGGTCTTCTTGACCCATCCCCAGTCTCCATAACCTCTGCTGGGGCTGAATTCAAATAACCACTTATCTGACAAATCTTGCAACTTGTCCGGATCCATTTGTAGCCTTTCCCTGTCATCTTCGGTGTGTGTGTGTGTGTATGTGTGTGTATGTGTGTGTGTGTGTGTGTGTGTGTGTGTGTGTGTGTGTGTGTGTGTGTGTGTGTGTGTGTGTGTGTGTGTGTGTGTGTGTGTGGAAAGGAGGCTGGCAGTAACTCTCCACCTGTCGCTCTTTTATGGTGGGGCAAGACGGGCTCTCCGCGGCCCACTCTGGCCAGTCTAACTTCTTTTACTACCCGTTTATAAACCGCAGCCACGCCGTAAACTGACCGTAGCCTCTGTGTTATCTTAAACTCAGGTGTGCGTATAATATGTTATCTTAAGCTCTCTTGAGTCTGTAATATGATGTTATTTTACGCTCTTCTGTGGGTGAGCTCTCATGTGGGTATAACATAAT